TCCCCTACGGCACTGCCGGTCAGAGGAAATTCCGGCATCGTGGAACATTTGGACGGGTACTCACCCAATTACTTGGTATCGGCACAGATACTAGTATCTGTGCATCCCTAATTATATGCTTTTAGAGTAATAAATACCATTGTAGCTTGAAAAGGTGCACAACACCATTTACGTTACATGCCTTTTGGAGACTCCAATTTGGGAAATTGTAAGTATGAGTTATTTTCAAAGCCTGAAGTAGAGTGAGCCCCAAACCACTGGGATGCGTTGGCTGTTCCTTACACTCCATACCAATAAAGATACTTACAAACAAAAGTTTAACGAACATCTATACTAGGTGTTAACTCACACTCTCACAGGTGTTCCTGTTTTTGAAGCAGCCTTCATATAGAAAGGGATTATTTTGTTTAATGATCGTTATCTAACACACATTCATTTTTATGTAAAGAAAAGCAGCAGCAAAAGCAGCAAAATCTTACACCTTACATCAGACTACCCTGCTGAGTGGGAATGAGGCCCTGCCTTTGGGATGGACCAGTGGTCTCTCACACTCCCCTGCCTATGACAGGACCACAGGTCTGTGTCTGCATGCTCATTTAACACATGAAGCACTGTCCAGCCTTGAGTAAATGGCCAAGAAGCAGCTGTGTTTGCTTCACATGCTCCTCTGGGTTGGACCAGGAGGAATCCTTTGCAAAAAGCAGGGGCCAGCAGACTAGAACAAAGCAGTTTCACTGTGGAATCATGCCAGTTGCGGGGGTTAATGTCGGCTTGCTTACTACAGCAGCAGCCAGTGTGAAGGAGCAGATTGCTAATGCTGGAGCAGAATCAGAGGGCATTAGGGAAGTAAAAAAATAAATAAAAGTACTACTGCCCAACAACACACTGACCTATGGGGAAAAGGGTAGGGTTTCTTTTTTTTTTTTTTTTAAAGCACTTAGAGATGATGCCCAGCTAATTTTCTTGATTCTAAAAGAATTGGATATTTATTTTCTTGTTTTATTATCTTTATTTTTTTTCAAGATATAATTAGAAGACATCTTCAGTTGACTGACGATTAGTGGGTTCCTTCAGTACAGCTCGTCATTTATGCTTTTAGGGATTAGACCTTTTGCATAGACTCGCACTAAAATCTGCCTAGACTACCTTATTTGGTTTAATGTTGGAAAACTGTAAAAGTGAAATTCAGTTCTGCAGTGGTCTTTGACGTCAAACAGTGAGAATAAAAATAGAGAGGATTTCTGCCTCAAATAAAGCAACACTGTGTCCCTGTACTGTGTGTGGCAATCTGTAATTGTGCTGCCAAAATTAGATTTCCCATAGGAGTTGCATAAAAAGTTGCTAAAATAAGAAATCTTAAAAAAATGTGGCTTCTTAATGCCTGTCAGCATTCGGGCCCATTTTGTAGTAGAATTCTTAGACTATATTTTTGTAGCCATACCATTCTGTAAGCTAAATCGTATCAAATTGTAGCACAGTTGGCAAAACCTGGTGAAAATCTTCAGGTCAGTTCACACAATTAATTTAGTGGAGATGGTTTATTTTCTGTCTAAAGAAATATCAGTCGATTTATATCTTAAATCAAAGTCGCCCTTTACTTTTCTAAAGTGGTGTAAGTTAGCACCAAAATACATTATATAACCACAGTTCATGAGGCCGCAAAGCAACTTTTCGAAGGGGCCCTCTTCTCTGGTGACCTCCTTCATGTTATTGATCTTAACAAAAAATATGTCTATATTGAGCAGAGGTAGCAGGAAAGCTGTAAGTATAGGCAGTGCACTACTAGGAACCAGAGCTGTGGATAGGCATATAATTACTCTCTGACTCTGATGCAAACATCTTTAATCTGTTGCATTTTTCTTTTTGTAGAACTACAAACAGCTATTTAGTCTGTTTTAGAAACTCTAGGATTTGTAGAGGCGAATTTACGGGGCTTGAAAAATGTTATCATATCTCACCAGTAAGTCAAAAATTTCACCAGTCAGCGTGACCGGACTATAGCCTTGCAATTTATGTTAAAAAATGTTTGGGGGCAAATAGAGCTTTGTTTTGGTGGTATTTAATCACCACTGGGGTTTTTTATTTTTTACTATATAATGAAAAAAGTACCGTAAATCGGGAAAGCTACTCGTTGGGCTCCGCCGTCCTCTCTTCACAGACGAGAGGACGAGTGGATTTTTCAAGCCCTGGGAATTTATCAAAACTGGAGCAGCTGTGCATGGCAACCATGTCGGCCTCTCTTTCATTTTCAAATCTTAACTAAACAAACTGAAAAGAGAAGCTGATTGGTTGCCCTGCATAACTGCTGCAGTTTTTGTCTGCTCCAGTTTTGATAAATTCCCCCCGGTGTTCTTAAGGAACCGGACAAAGTTTGCACAGCTGATGCTGCTGTCTGCACCCTTTCAGCCGACATCCCTCGATCAGCTGGTTGAAGGAGCCAGTGAGAAAATCTTTGTACAAACAGAGCCAGCAGCCAATGAGCTGCCAGCTCTGTTTGGGTATTTTGACTGGCCAGTGCCAGAATACAAAAAAAACGGCGGGGATTCCTCGATCAACGTGCTCGTGGCATTGATGGATGAATCTTCTCTATTTTTTATTTGTTCAACCTGCAGGTTGAATGAAAAACAATAGAGCAGTATATGGCCAGCTTTAGGAATACTTGGTGAAATCCAAAGCTGGCTGGGATGACCAGAAGCTCTGAGGGCATTAAATCTACACAGCTAAAGAAGCCTGCGCAGCCTGCTAAGAGGATCTGTGATTAGTAACCACAATTCTGACATTTCCTTCTGTATGCCAGATTGGAAATGTCACATGGGAGGTACAGGGTCAGTGGCAGCAGCAACCTCTGCAATCCTTAATACAGTACTGGATTTGTGGATTATCTTTACGTGCTCACAAATTATTTGTTTAATTTGCCTCAAAACCCCCTAATAGGGTCCCCTTCGAGCCATAGGTCCCATAGCTGCCATGTGTTCTGCAATGGCTATTGTTATGCTACTTATTGCAGACATTCTTTGGTGCTAAATACTTTTGTTTAGTGTCTCTGCATTTCTGGAAACCCTAAACCTATGCTTCAGTTATTAGTGCAACTTTCAACAAATCAAAGGTTGGCCTGCCGTTTATTGGACATTGATTCCATAAATCATTTGAACAACCAATAAGGATTTGCTGGGGGGGTTGGGGGCAGGATAGTCCTAGACTGTTTTCTAGAAAATGAAGAGATTAGGGTGCTGAAGACGATGCACATAAAAAGATATATGCAGACACCCCTTTCATTACATTATAGATGTTTTACATGAAAACACAAAATCGCTTGAGATAACTGCTTCAGGCTTGCGGATCTCAATAGGTGAGCAAAAATGTCCATGGTTCCAACATTTCTCTACCTTTCTCTGTTCTTAACTTAAAAATATTAATGTAGAATGTTAAATAAATTCTGTAATTGCATGTTTTCAAATCCTTATTCTGTGTTTATGTGCATTGTTGCTTTTCCTTTTTGTCTTTGTATATATGCATATATATAACATGTTTGCGTTCTGTCTGAATTGCCCAACCACACTTGGCTGTGCAGAACAAGACTTCTTTTTTTATATGTATTGAAGCTGATAAAGCCATTCCTAATCCTATTTATTTATTAGAGGGAGTGTTCTGCGGACGGTGGAGTTATTGTTACACAGATCCTTGTTGGCTCATATATACAGCTATTGTGACAGATTACAGCTATGTAATTAGATGTGCCCTCTAAGTACATTTTGGTTTTAGTAAAAGTGGTTAGAGTTGTTTCAAACTGACTTGCATGTAATCTGCTGGTAATGAACTGACCATTTCTTCCCAAGGGTAATGTCTGCTTATGCTTAGTTTCTTCATATGCTTGGATTGAATCACTCAGATTTGTCCTACCTTTCAGGCTGCCAAACCTGTACAAAAATACGTCCATCACTATTTTACTAAACTCTACTGATGTAATTATTTAAATGAATGCCGGAATTACAGGAATTTGTTTCTCATTTTGCATTTACAATATAGCTTATAGTGTTTTAAGATACTATACAGTTACACACATCTACTTTGTATGATCAGAGCAACTCTTTGGTACTTTTGACTCTGGAATAATGTGCACAATACATGGGGAAGAATACTGCATTTACAAACAAATGAAACTTCATATCTTTGTCATATTAAAAACATGTAAGGTCAGTGGGCCCCCCGTGCATTAACGTAAAACCCAGAATACATATTTATCTATTTTACTCTGTGTTCCCTCCTCCCTTCTGTTTTAAAAATAAAATGTGCCCAGGCTCAGCCCTGTCCCCTGCTTTCTCCTCAGTCATTATGCAGGCTGAGCTCTCAGTACTCCAGGGCTGAGTAGTACTCGAACGTTATTAGTCATTACGTGGGTGCCACCCAGTGCAGGAGGAATGCCTGCTGCAGATAAGAAGCTCCTATGATGTGACGAGGTTGGCTAGAAGAGTGAAGGAAAAAAGTGTGTGTGCAGGTGCCAAGTTGGGCACTTAAAGCTGGAGATTCAATTTTAAGTTGAGACACAACAGATTTATTGTCCATAGCAATGAAATTCTCCTCTTTATGTTTCTAGTACTGTAAGAAATAGATGGGGAGAATTTGATAGCCTTGGGCTGCAAAATACCTCTTCCTTTAACCACTTGCTGACCAGAGTGTTAAACCCCCCTTCCTGTCCAGGCCATTTTTCAGTATTCAGCGCTGCAGTACTTTGACTGACATTTATTCCGTCATGCAACGAATTTTATACCATTTTTTTGGGGCACGCAGAGCTTTCTTTTGGTGGTATTTAATCACCCCTGGGATTTTTTATTTTTTACTACATAATGAAAAAGTACTGAAAAGTTGGCCAAAAAAAATTCTGCTCCTGCGCGCCCAGAAAAAAAAACCACGTAAATGTACGTCCACACGCTGGACGTACATTTTTATGGGGTTAATACTTTTCTACAAAAGATGAGTTAGATTTCCTTGCTTTTCCCTAGTCTCTGATATTTGATGAGGTTGATTTGTCAGATGCAAGTGTCGCCGAGTCAAGTACAAAAAATGTGAACAACAGCTTCACGGTAAGATGTCCTCTGGAAGCGGCACCCTGAGAATCTAAATCAAAGAAAATGCTTGAAAATTGGCAATGAATTCTTTTGTAGCACAGTTTCATATAATCGTAAACATAGGGATGGTAGTCACCTGCACACCAGGGTCCAATAATATCAATGCGTCTTTATTTGACATCAGATGTGAAAGCAAGGTTTCGGAGCCTTTAACCGCTTGAAGACCAGGTGTTTAGACCCCCTTCCCATCCTGGCCATTTTTCAGTGTTCAGCGCTGCAGTACTTTGACTGTTATTTATGCCGTCATGCAACGCTGTTCTGAAATGAATTTTATACCATTTGTTTGGGGACAGATAGAGCTTTCTTATGGTGGTATTTAATCACCACTGGGGGTTTTATTTTTTACTATATTCAGGAGAAATTACTGAAAATTTTGAAAAAAAACCATGTGACATGTAACGTGTGCGGCGTAATGGGGGCAATCGTCGTTTTCGCAGGTATGCGCAGCTGACGCATGTTTACATGCGTGTATGTAGGGGTGGGGACTTAAAAAAATGTTTTTTTAAATTCTTTTTTGTGTAACCTTAAAAAAATTTGGGGGGAAACTACATTTTTTTAAAATTTTTTTTTTCCACTTTATTGCTATCACAGAGGGGGGCTAGAAACCCTCTAATGTGATAGCAAAAGAGGTGACAGGTCCTCTTTATGGAGACATCAGGGGTCTCCAAGACCCCTAATGTCACCTAGGACCCCCCTGAAGAAGCTGATGAAGCAGAGCTCTGCTTCATCAGCTTCTCTCCAGCATCTGAAGCTGGAGAGTGACACGAGAATGCGGAAGTGATGTAATATACACCACTTCCGCATTCTGACAGCGGAGAGGGGACCGGAGGGAGCTTGTGTACCGAGCTACCTCTGATCCCCTGTGACAGAGGGACTATGCTGGTCCCGTGCTCACACCGGAGCCCGGGACCAGCTTGACAGCGGGGGGGGGCACACGTCTCGGGGCCTCATACAAGCAATCCGCCGACTCTATACATGCCCAGTTACATCCAAGAAGCTCCTGGCCGGCCGTGTATACACAGCGGCTGGCCGGGAGGTAGTTAATGGTCCCTTTATCAGTCATACACAGAGTGAACAGTTTCATATTTCATATTCACAGATAGACTCTGGCACTTTTAAAAGGTTTGCTTAAATACCAAGCAATTCATTGCTAGGCCTAGAAACATATTTTTGCTGAGTAGCTCAGTGTCCTGTTTAAAATTACAAATTAATATTGAAAATACTCTGCATGCTGCTGTTTTGAGTGTTTTTTTTAAATTCTCTTCAGCATGCAGTGTTTTGTCTTTATACAATTTATTTACAACTAAATTGATGGCTGCATTGTCTTGGTCTGTACTATGAAACCAGAATTCGGATGCTTCAGAATAGCTCACGGTGAGCAAACCGTGATGGAGTGACATCTCGCTGGTGCAGCTAAATAGTGTGACATGGCCCTAAGATGTTTGCTGTTCCCTCTGCTATAAACCAACAGAACCAGTAAATCCTGCAAGGGCTTGTCTCCACCTACTGAATAACTAATTATTATTTACTCATCACTGGTGCTTCTGTAAATAACATTTTATTCAGTACAAGTTCCATCTGAACTTTTTTTATGCACACGTAATTTTTGGGAAAACTTTTTAAAAAATAAATACATGTGTCACTTTAGGAGTCAGTTCTGTGCAGAAACCCATACCAACCAATCCTAAACCATACACCAAAAGGATTTCAGACTACTTTTTTTTTGTACTAAATGTGTCTGTAAAAGGTCATATGGAATAGCAAAAGGACTTCTGATATGAATACTTGTTCCAGGCCAATGATGCAGAAATGTAAAGCCACTGTGGCCCATCATGACATCCATGCAAGCAACATTTTCTGAGGGAGAACAATAAATAGCTACATTTTTCTTTCAGTACAGAATCCCTTTACAAAGGCAGTTTAACAAACTGCCAAAGCTCTTTCTGTTCAACAATTCTGGCTTACAGCAGGGAAAGGTTTACAGACTGTTATATTTGTAGAAAGTGTTTAGTTTTTTTCTCTGTCCCAACTTTTTCTTCAATTTCTTTTTTTTTTTTTAATCTCAGGATCTAAATCATAAAACTGCATTCAAGCAGCTTAACTATTGAACTGATACTAAACTCGGGAGTTAAATCTGAAAATGTTTTCAAGTACCTCAACTATTAACACAAATGTAACTTATTTGTGTATCACTCAGCTTTAGATCCTCAAATCATCTCTGAATTCATGACACTGTCCTTTCTTCTGGAGGCTCCAATCTCACTCCTGTGATGGACTACAATCTCAATACAAATTAGTGAACTAAATGTGAGATTGTAGTCCATCACAGGAGCGTGCTTGGAGTGGTGACTACTTTACAACACACACAGGGACCATGGGGAACAAAAGTAGCCACCCTCCAGAAGGAAGGACAGTGTCGGCACCAATTCAGAGATGATTTGAGGATCTACAGCCGAGTGATACACAAATAAGATACATTTTTTTAAATAGTTCAGGTACTTGCATGTATTTTTAAGATTTAATTCCTGAGTTTAGTGTCACTTTAAGACAAACTCTCTTATTTTTTCTTTGGTTGCAAAGTATTGTCTGCTGTATTATTCATGTGTGCTAAAAAACACATACTTGCACTGTTCCTTTTGGAATCTTATTGCAACTTTTCTTGTATTAAAAACCATTAACAAAAATGTATCTTATTTGTGTATCACTCAGCACCAATTCAGAGATGATTTGAGGATCTACAGCTGACACTGTCCTTCCTTCTGGAGGGTGGCTACTTTTGTTCCCCATGGCCCCTGTGTTTGTTGTAAAGTAGCCACCGATCCAAGCTCACTCCCGTGATGGACTACAATCTCACAGGAGCAAGCTTGGAGCAGTGACTACTTTACAACACACACAGGCCATCGGGAACAAAAGTAGCCAGCCTCCAGAAGGAAGGGCAGTGTCGGCAGCAATTCAGAGATGATTGGAGGATCTACAGCCGAGTGACACACAAATAAGATACATTTTTATAGTTTTACATTTTATATACATGTAAATAGTTGTTATAGTGTGTGTGTATATGTGTATATGTATATATATATATAATGTACACCTTATTTGTGTATCACTCGACTGTCTTTTGGAGGGTGGCTAATTTTTTCTGACCTTCTGGAGGGCGGCTAATTTTGTTCCCTTTGGTCCCTGTGTGTGATGTAAAATAGCCACCACTCCAAGCTCTCTCCTGTGATGGATTACAATCTCAGGTTTAGTTTACTAATTTGTATTGAGATTGTAGTCCATCACAGGAGCAAGCTTGGAGCGGTGGCTATGAAATGACTTACACTGAGCCCCATCTTTTATTGATTTACAAGAAAAATCTGAATATATTTTCTTTTGAAAAAGTACTTGATATGATTTTTCACCCTTGAACTGCTCTCTCACTCACTCTCTCTCAATTACTTTGTTTGGTTATTTAGTGGTAGTCTCTACTTTTTAGAGCAGAGTGTTACACTGGTGTTCAGTGCTAATAACCGACAGCCAAAGAAAAAACACTGGTATAACAAAGGCACTGTCAGCATAACATGTAAGAAAAACATGAAGACTTTGTTAATTGATGGTTTGCCCCCTTCCAGAAATAATCAGGTCATCTTCCATTGGGACTTTACAGCCTGACACTGAGCTGACATGTCTGCTGTATAGGGCTGCAACAACTAATCAATTAAATCTATTATGAGAATAGCCGGCAGCTATTCTCAATGTTGCTTGAGAGAGATATTTTTTTTATTGCAACCAATCAATTAGTTGTAAAAATAATCGGGCAACTAATCGATTATGAAAATAATCGTTAGCTGCAGCCCTACTGCTGTATTCAGTTGCATACACTCCCTGTCAGAGCAAACAAATGTATATCTGAGAAATGATGCTTTACTATTATAACAATGTAAAGTGTATGTAAATGCTAATGGTGAAATGATAACTTATTCTTCTCCCTGCCTTTGCTGACTATTATCCTTTAAGTTTGATCCCAGCTCTCTTTGGACTACTGAACATCGTCCCACCATCTTATAGAGATGGGAATGTGTTCTGTAGTCCTAAAACACTTCCTGTTCTAGGGTGACAACATTACTTCTCTATAAAAGGTACATTGAGTGAGAGTTGACACCCTTTGACAGTAAGTGTGTTACTGGTAGGATTTTCAGGTGAGACTAAGGGAAGGAAAAAGGCATGAAATAAAGGGAACCCATGCAGCCACTGTATCTAAGTACTGATTAAACTGCATTATATTATATTTTTGTTCTTGGGTTTAGATATACTTTAAGAGTGGAGATTCAGATTTAGACAAATGCCCATTTGCCTGGTTCTATTTAGGAGGGACTCTACTATAATGGAAAGTTTGTTTTATAAAATGAATCCTGTGCTGTATATTGCAAAACCTCCATACAGCTCTGTACCAGTTTTATGTACAGATCTTTCATTCACACAGTTTGGACTTTATGGGAGTCTGAGATTATATTAACCTTTTCGTGGGTAAATATGTGCACTAACTCTGAAAGAATAACAAAGAGCCCCTAATACAGTATGTATGCATATCAAATATAGAATTTTGGGGATATTATTAAGGGTCTCTATAGGATGTTTGCCTGTGACCATTTAAATTTGTTTTTCGAAAACAGATGGGCTTGTAGAATTCTCCCTCTCTGCCAGTTCAGTGGTGTAAATGGCACAGAACTGCATATGTTACTGTGCAATGGCAGATGAGATATATTTGGCTTTGTGCAGATTGGGTAAGAAATGAAAGTCTCATGACATCAGTTGGAATGATTTGAGGTTTTTTTTTTTATTTAACCTAAAAGAGAAGTAAACACATGCTCATGGGAAATCCTGAAACTAAAGATACAGATTGAGAGCTGTAAAGTCTGTGTTTTTCAAGCTGTGAATTTTTTGCATTCTGGATAGTTGAAGGGAGTCGCATCGTC